GAAATTGGATGGGCACAGGGTTGGGAAGCATCTGGGAGGAGTCAGAGGAGAGAAAATATGATCAAAATATAGTGTATAGAAATTTTAAATAAAAATAGACCAGAACTGAGTTTTCTCTACATTTCATTTGGCATAGCTCCCAATGTTAGCTCTTCAAATGTACTAATCAATTCTGTAAAACCCGGCTTTCATCCAGTCCCATCTAGCATATATTTAATCTATTGTCTTTTTTTAAAATTTTTTAAATTTTATTTTCCAGTTTAAATTTAGATAAGAAACAAGGTTGCTTCACAAGTCAGTTCCAGGTCCCGCTCCCATTCCCTCCCCTCCTCCCATGCCCTCTAAAAGTTCAGTTTTAGTCTCTTGAAAAATACCACCCGTGCCTTGGCTTAACTCTTTGAATGTGAGTTATAATAATGTTTTAATGTCTGTCTGCTAAATCAACATCCCAGTTCCGGTTCAGTCGAGATAGAATGACATTTCTTCTCATTATGCCTTATACCTTTTTTTATTTCTTTGCATGCTTAGCAAATACTCCAGACTTGGTGAGTATTATTATTATTATTTTATAATTGTTCTTGAACCATATTCTGGAAAAAGTTACCTGGAGACATTTTGAACTTTTCAGGTCTTGCTTTGATGCAGGAGCCATGAAGCCCTCCGAGCAGGCAGGATGTCACAACCTTTGATTATGGCCAAGCACCCAGACTTACCTCCCAGTGGTGGCCAGCATCCTGCTTGAATGTTGGCAGTAAAAGCTGTTAACAGGAACAGTCCAGATATTGTCAAATGTCCCTGGGGGTAAAATTACACCTACTTAAGAACACTGGACATAGAGTTTGTTTTCTTTCATCTCTGAGGCAAAGCCCTTGGAATACCCAATATATGGCAAGGTTCCAAAGGCCAAAGTGAAAACGGCCTCATTGTTAGACCTCTTGGGAGAAGTTTCCTCATATGAAGATACTGTACACATCAGGGACCCTCCAGAAACACCCTTACTCTGAGAATTTACCTGCTCTCTCTTTCTAGATTTCCAACTCAATCTTCTAGACTTAGGGAGTCTGCTGGTTTTCCTTTGGGTCATATTTCTCTGTTATTAAAACCAGAAACTCCAAAGGCAGCAGCTTGGAAAACTGTGCTGTCTTGTGAACTCTCCTCAGTAGCAGATACCTACTAGTTAATTGTTATTTTTCCGATCACCTTAGAGTTTTCATATTTGAAATGGGAGAGGTAGTCACTAGAACTTCATCTTAGCAGCAAGAAGAGCTTCCCAATAACAAAGAAACAGTGCTACCAATGATATAAAACCCAGAACACTAGAAAGGTAATCGACTTCTACAAAATTACCCAGATATAATCACCGATGACATTTTATTTACTTACTTTTTAATATTTATTTAGTTTTTTGAGACAGGGTTTTTTTGTGTAGCTTTGTAGATCAGGCTGTCCTTGAACTCACAGAGATCCGCCTGCTGTTTCCTCCCGAGTGCTGGGATTAAAGCTGAACGTTTGGTCACTGATGACATTTTAGTGGGTGGTACTTATTTCTCTCTTTATTTATTGAGCTATTGCCATTAAATCCTGACCAATGCTGAATGGATATTCTTTCAGAATGGGTTGATAAAATGGTACCTGTATTTTTTTTAACTTTCATTTCTTTTTTGTTTTTTCTTTTTTTTTTTGAAGCCAAATTAGAGTCTGTTAAGAGGAAGCTTTCAGGCTTGAGAGGTTGATGAGTAGTTAAGGGTAGTGCAGGCCCAGCCTGGTAGTGGATGCCTTTAATCTCTGTGGGTTTGAGGCTAGCCTGGTCTACAGAGTGAGTTCCAGGTCAGTCAGGGCTACACAGAGAAACTCTGTCTCAAACAAACAAACAAACAAACAAACAAACAAACAAACAAGCAAACAAACCAAGAGAACATACTGCTCTTGCAGAGGAAATAAGTTTGGTTCCCAGCACCGACGTTAGGTGGCTCACACCCACCCGAAATTCCGACTCCAGGGGATCTGGCGCCCTCTTCTGGCCTAGGCAGGCCTCCATCGCCTCCCCACAATTTATGGTTTTCTGCACACATTTTAAGGAATCTCTCACGTCTTGCTCACTGGCTTGAAAACATATGTGCTATAACTCCTGCTTGCATTTCGTGGAGAATGTAGGTCTAGTGTGGCAATTCTGTTTCCCAGGTCCAAGCTGAGAGCTGCGGGGTATCTTTTTCTCACTCAGTTCTGAGCATCGAACGCATCCTACAGAATTGTCCAACTACTCCCTCTTCAGTAGCCAAAGACTGCAGGAGGGAGTGAGGCGTGGCCACCTTCAGGCGCCACACCCTGGGTTGTTTTCTTACGGAATCAGTGTACCCGCTCGCCTCATCTGACAGCTTTCATACCAGCACACGTTCACACACACCCACGCAGTACGCATGCAGCGTCACGGCGTTAGCTTATCACCAGCTCTGCCTGCCACACTCTGCGGGTTAGAAAGCCAAGCAGGGACCAGAAGGAAGACAGCTGGCGCATGCGCAACGGCCAAAAGCTAAATATAGGTCACACCAGAGGCTGAGAACCACCAGGAATCCACCCCTCCTCTGCGCACGTCTGCCTCTCGGATCTGCTCTAGCCTCCTTGTTAACGCTCCTTCCCATATTCTCCTATTCGTGTATGACTTCTTCCCAGGGAGACTAGGGAGACGTTTTCAGAAGGATATGCTAGTGATAGGCACGTTCGCAAGCCTTCCAACTTTCCTTCTTTCTTTCCAATGATGGAACTGAACTCCAGAACGACCTAGCGATACGATGTTGCCAATGAAGTACCAGCAGGAAGCTAAAGAATCTGCTGTGTTTCTTGTCCGAGAGCTGCAACATTGCAGAAGGCTGCATACCGCATCAGCTTTGGTCCCCGTGTGAGTAGAGGCCCCGGATATTAAACGAAGATGCCATGCGAGTAAGACATGAATCTTGGTTGCCCGTAGCCACCAGCATGTGGAGGACGCCTGCCCTACAGTACACCTAGTTTGGCTGCTGTATAGCAGAGCGTGGGCTCTACTTTCATGACAGAAGAATGAGATGTATGGCTTGTGGAACATGCATACATGCACACCCCAAAGCTACATTAACATCGTCACCCCAGTGATCAACTGGAGTGGTCAAGAGAGCCGGAAGCTGGCTGGCTTCCTCCTTTTCCATCCAATCAGTGGAGTTCAATGGCACTAATGACAGATCTTCCTTCCTTCCTTCCTTCCTTCCTTCCTTCCTTCCTTCCTTTCTTCCTTCCTTCCTTTCTTTCTAAACACCAGAACTGTTGACTTTTTTTTTTTAATAAGCTTGGCTGAGAAGCAAGGCCCAGCCTTGTCTTCTGTGGCTTCTCTGTCAGTCCAGCCTTGGTGATTGACACTCCGGGCTAGCGTTTTGGGGATGTACTGTGAGTTCACACTCTGGCTTCATGTGATTTTGCAGTTTTGCCTGTTTTTTTCAGCAGCTGCTCTGTGAATACAGAGAGGACTAAACCCCAAGTGGATGCAATTAGCCTGCTGATGTTCAAGTTTCCCTGTTAGCATCTGCGTAGGGCCTGGTTTGTGGACAGATATTGTTTAAATTTGGCTTCATCATGGAATATCTTGTTTTCTTCATCTATGGTGACTGAAGTTTTTTTTGAGTATGGTAGTCTGGGCTGGATCTGTGGTCTCTTAGAGTCTGCAGCTCATCTGTCCAAGTCCTTCTGGCTTTTAGAGTCTCCACTGAGAGACGTCAGGTTATTCTGATGATAGGTCTGCCTTTATTATATGTTACTTGGTCATTTTTGTTTGCAGCTTTTAATATTCTTTCTTTGTTCTGTACATTAAGTGTTTTGATTATTATGTGGTGAGGGGAATTTCTTTCCTGGTTAAGTATGTTTCGCATTCTGTAAGCTTCTTGTACCTTTATAGGCATTTCCTACTTTAGGTTAGGAAGATTTTCTTCTCTGATTTTATTGAAATTATTTTCTGGGCCTTTGAGCTGGGTTTCTTCTTCCTCTATCCCTGTCATGCTTAGATTTGATCTTTCCACAGGGCCTCAGATCTCTGGGACGTTTTTGTGTCAGGATCATTTTTAGATTTAACATTTTCTTTGATCAACATGTCCGTTCTTTTTTCCTCCATCATGTCTTCAACACCCAAGGTTCTCTCTTCCATCTCTTGTATTCTATTGGTGAAGCTTGCCTCTGAGGTTCAAGTCCCTAAACTTTCCATTTCCAGGTTTCCCTCAGTTTGGGTTTCCTTTAGTGGTTCTATTTCCCTCAGTTTAGTGTTGGTTCTATTTCCCTCAGTTTAGTGGTTCTATTTCCTTTAGTGGTTCTATTTCCACTTTGCTGTCTTGAACTGCTCTTTTTCACTCCATTCCACAGTTTGTGTTTACGTGGGTTTCTTTAAGGGATTTGTTAATTTCTTCAGGGACCTCTGTCAGACCCCATGAAGACTGCATTGCTGAGACTTAGGAGTGGCAATGGCTAAGAGGAATGTGACTGAGGGCGTCCATGGAGGGGGTGGTGGGGGGTGGCAGGGGGTGGTAATGTTGTGGGGGGGTGGGAATCAGGCTGTTCTACCAGAATCCCTTGGAAATGGGGGCAGAGATAGAGGAGAGGCTGCGGCGGGTGATCTGCTACAGAGCTGGGATGAGACTGGGGACTGGGCTCGAAGGAATGGAGAGGTGAAGATCTACAGTTAGCTTCCCTGCTTCCCTGGCCAGAGCAGCTTGAGGGTTGCCAGGAGTGCCTGTTGGAGTTGGGGCTGGGATAAAGCAATGAGTGGCTGGGAGGTGGAGGGGGGGCATCTGTGTGATCCACTGGAGATGATGGGGGCGGGAGGGAGGCTGCAGCTGGTGTTCTTTTGCAGAGCTGCTGTAGGAGGAGACAGTGCTCCGCCATTAGTCATGTGACTTATTAGAGGCCCATACAGATGAGGTAATAAAAGGGCGGTTTACCGCACTGCTAACCACACCCACTTTAGGCGTGACTAAAGACGTATATGGACGTAGGCGGTGAACTACGTCACTAGACAGGCCCACTTTTGGGTGTGGCTAGGGTCCTGTACAGAGGAAGGAATAAAAGACTGTTAGCAGAACATGTCGCCCTCTTTCCAGCTTCCAGTTCGGCGGTGGAAAAATACTGGGCTCATGTGGTGCGCTCCCTGACCAGCAGGAAAGACAAACACCAGACAAGGATTCTTCCCAAATCATGCTTTATTGGAGCCTCCTGGTTGAAGGGAGAGCAGGAAGCGAGAGACCCCGAGCAAAGACTGCAGCTGCTTATATAGGAACTAAGGCGACGTGCACTCGTCCTATTGGTCGAGCACCTCCCCCCCCCCAGACATTCCAGGCTTCCCGATTGGTCTAGCAAGCTGAGGACAATACGCATGCTCGAGTTGGTGATTCTGGTTATGACCTTACATGGAGTTGTTTACTCCAACCCTGCAGGGGCCCAGCGCCATCTTGGAATGGCGGCCACACATCTCGGCTCCCTGCAGGCTCATCTGGGTTGCTTGTTTTTCTCTTGTGAGTAATTTCTACAATACTTACTTATACTTTCAATAAGTGTGCCATTTATCGTTGCAGCATCAGAGCTGCGATGACTGGAGGCTTGGATTTGGAGGAACGGAGGGACTGATATAGATTGCAGTCAGCCTATCTGCTTCCCTGGCTGGAGTTAGGTTGTATTCTTACGTTCCTGGACTCCTTTCTTTCTTGTTTACACATTTAGGTCATAGCTGTGGTTAAGTGTCATTGATGGGCACTAACTGGGTAGAAGGTTGATGTAAGTCAGTCAGCAAACCGAACGAGTCTGTTTCCATCAAACCATATCTTAAATTATGAGCAGAACTCTAACTCAATTTTTATCAAGTTCTTACAGAAGTCTTCCAAGTAGAAATCGTGTTGAGCCGATGTCCCGAAGAGATGAAACTCATAACTAGTAGCTCCATTTGCATACAAATGATTTGCTCTCTTGGAGGGGTTGTTTTGGCAGGGGCCTCTGCAGTCATATTCTGTCCAATCAGCTGCTCAGTAGAACCCGTGCATGGGCCACAGTGAACCCCAGTCTAACCTATGCTGAAATAGTATGAAGACTGATTCGTGTACTCAGAAGAAATAGAATGTTATTGAATGTAGCTGGGTGATTTTCAAACAGCAATCAAGCTTTTAAAAAATTACAATTGCTTATTTCTTCCTGGGGAACAGCAGAAGAGTAGAAATCTCAAATTGATTATGAAGTTTTATCATGTACAGAATGAGCTGTTGAAAACAGAAATCAAATTGGAGAGGATTTGGCAAACAATATTCCTGTGCGCCTTAGGATGTGGACTGGAAACCAGTTCTCCAGTCATGACTTTCTCTCATCGTTTGGAATACTCTTCATGTTGGATACAGTGTGGGTGGTGTCCTAGTGGGATTCAGCGACTGTAGCCATAAAGTGACTGAAATTGGATAGCTTACTTGCCTGTGCCTATCAGTGTTAATAACAGGCCTGCTCGTTCTTCTTAGTTCAATGAGATTACATGCGCTCTTCATCTCAGGTCGGACATCAGAGTCTTCCCGTTCTCACTGTGGTGGCACACGATTTCAGAAAAGACTCAAATTCTGTAATCTGTGTCTAGAAGGGATATCTCCAAAGGGGTGGGAAGGATGCCTGGAGATGGCAAGGATGCTGGGACTTGTATCACCCAGATATAACAAGACAAGGGGGCACTGGTGCCTGGGATCTGGGGCCAGCAGCCGTGACGAATGAGAAACCACAAAGCAGGAACTGAGGTCTTCACGGCGAGCACCCAGTGACTCATGAGAAGAAGCCGGTGAGCCCATCTCCCGATCCCACTCTGCCTTGTGACCCTCCGATCTCTGCTCTTTCTTGGTGAATTCTCTTATCAGCCAGATCCAACTGGGAGTCAGAATTGGACAAGGGAGCCTGTGGCTGCAGTCCCAAGGGCAATGTGTCAGATCTCTATTGTTTGGTAACTCCAAAAACCGTGTGAGTTTACAATGACGAGCATCCTCCCGCAGTCTCTACAGAACAGGACTCAGATGTCTGAACCGTGGCTCCAGCCTGTTGAAGGCTGCGTCTGAAGAAGGCAATGGAGGCTGTAGCCTCCTGAAAGGATAGAGAATTTAACAGCTCCTCTGCCCACACGGGCTTCAGCTGGAGACCCCAGCAGCCGTGCTTGCTTTCTCTTGCTGTGACAGATACCACGACCAAAATCTACTTAGGTAGGGAAGGGATGATTTCATTAGGCAGCTTACACCTGTAATGAAGGAAGTCAGAGCAGGAACTCAAGACAGGAACCTGGAGGCTGGAGCTGAAGCAGAGCCCATGCAGGAGCGCCGTCTCCTGGCTGGCTCTCCATGGCTTGCTCAGCTTGCTTTCTTAAAAAGAAAAATCTAGGGCTGAATGCCCAGGGGTGGCACCATTTACAATGCGACAGGCCCTCCCATACTAATCATTAAGCAACGATTGTCTTTAAAGGTTCGCTACGATACTAAGTAACATTCTGTAATTTAGCTTTTCTGCATGTCTACTCTAACACCCGTGAGGCGGCACTCTTCCGTATCACAGAGCCTGGCCAGCATCCTCTCTGCATTTGCCATTGTGTGTGATGCTGTGGAAATTCCGGCAAGGTCGTGGAAACACAGGTAGGTTGGCCTCCAAACACTGAGACTCGGTGACTACATGGAGCGCAATCAACCAATTTGTAGCTGTTAAAGAAATTTAAATTCCCTGGTGGGCAAAAGCAGGCTCCTCTTAGAAGTGGAACAGGAATGTTAGTTTGTAGTTTAGCAATCAGCGTAATATTGTCCATCATGAAAGCATCTACAAAACCTAGAAGTTTGAATGCCAGAAACTGACAACATGAAATCTATTTAAAGATACAATATTCGGAAGGTTTGGGATCACTCTAAGAATTATTTTATGGTTCTAAAAAAAACACAGCTTTCACAGTGGTTATGTGCTGAGAATTACACGTGTGTCTGAATATTTGTTTACCCTCTCAATTCATGTGTTGGAATAGGGGAAGGGTCTTTGGGCAGCACTTAGGTCATGAGGGTGGAGTGCCTCATGAATGGTGTTAGTTTTATGCAGAGGCCAGCACCCTAACTTCAGCTACTTTCTGAGGATACTAGAGGTCAGTCAGATGCCTATAACCCAACCAGGATCTGCACAAGAACCTGGAGGTGAGCCCTCAGAACTGAGAAAGGAACGCCCCCGGTTTATAAACCATCTCGTCCGAGACTGTTTACAGCAGCTGGAACAAAGGCAACTCAACTTTGAAAAGCCATGCTGGAAGGGTTTTTGAAAAATGATTCCTAATCTAGTGTGCTACAGTATCACACACGTGCATACTGTATTCGGCTCACCCTGTCTTCCCGCCCTCTCCTGTTCCTGGTCTACCCCGTGACAAGTCTTCCTCCTCTCTACCTGTTTGTTCCTCTCCAGGCTCATGACTTTTGATTTGGTTCTGTGATCCATCCAGGTTAGCCAGGGCCATCTGTGTAACCACTGGATTAGGAGTATGCATTAGAACCTGGTGAGGCCACCTTAGGTACACAGCTGAATGTAGCAACGCCCCCTTTCCCGATCAGTAGACGGTTCAGCAGTGAGGGACAGGACCCCTAAGACCTTCTCCTGTCCGTGCCTGGCTGTTGATGAACTCCTTCTTGTGCATGCCAGTGGAGGCAACTGCAGCTGCTGAGAGTTGGTGACTGCCGTGGGTGTGTGTTGTCTAGAAGATGGCTTTTTTTTTTTGTGGCCGTCCTCACTATGATTTACAGTGGCGACACTTTTTTTCTTCCCCCATCTTTTCTTCCACAGTATTCTATCCATGACCTCAGCAGGGCTGATACAAAGGCTTTGTTTAAGTCCCAGCACTCAGCCACCATTTCCTCTTGGCATCGTGTGCAGTCAGAAATCTCTGCATTTGTCACAGTTCACTTGGAAAGAGACTTCTTCGATTAAGGATGCACGTAGCATTTCATTACGGTTACAAGCGTACAATTTAGAAGGCGGTTTAACAAGACGTCAGTTTAGCTAGACAACAGCATTAAGTTCCGTTCTAGGGCCCGTGACTCCCTGCACCATATACACAAGCATGGATTTCCTCCTGTGAAATAGGGCTCAAGATGAACCAAAGGTTGGTTACCCCCATATCAGCCATGCCTCCATTGCACATTTTGCCTGGTGGGTCGAGATCATGGTTTGTAGGGTGCGTATCTGGCTTATGACTGTTGTCTCCTCTATTTTCCTCAGCAGCTTGCAGAGCACCTTCCGGCTCTATGAAAAGTAGTTGGCAGAGAGGAAGCTGCTGGCGTGTTTCAGTTTGATTTCTCTGTATCACACAACCCAGATGCATGATGATCTCCGGTCATAGGATCACCTAGTTCCAGTAGGTAGGGAAGACATTCCCTACTTCAATGTTTAGAGGCCTCTAGGTTCTCCCCGTCGGTCTTGCTTTTAAAGAAGAAAATAACGTGACCCAGTTCTGGTGCTCCCGATATGGGTGAGAACTGCTGAGTACAGTTGTGAAGGCATCGTTTTGAATAGATTGCGAGCCACCCAGGGGGTGGACTTTGTGTGTAAGTGGGTTTCCTGTGATGGTTTGACATGGTGTGTCAAGGGAGATGTCTTTGTGTTGGCAGTGTTGTACACGGCAAACAGCAGTGAAGGTGAATGGGCACTGGGCAGGTAGGTTATGGGGCTTTATCTAGGGCAGATATTTCCATCACAAACAAGCTATTAATGTTTCAATCTGACATTGTCAGTCTCAGGGGTTTGGGCAGCACACAGAAAACAATGAGGAGTCTGTGGGCAGAAACTGTCAGCGTAACTTGCAACCAGGAGCCTCACAGTCCACACAGTCACGCTTTTCTCTTCTATTTATTTTTTGCCGTGCTTGGGATCGAAGGCACGCATTTTACCCCGACCGTATTTATCGTGGCTGCATTCTGTAGTGGTGGCTGCTTTTTTCCCCCTCTGTTCACAAAGGACTGCTCAACAGGGCTAGAGTTCATAGAGGAATGTGCTGGGAACCTCCAGGTGCACACTGTTGTGTCCCGGCACTGCTGGTGACTGCTCAGCTGTCTTCGCCAGTCATTAGTTACAACATCCAAAAATACATACTGTCTGTTGAAAGAGGCAGTCACCATACTGCTTCCTATACTCTTAAATATTGCGATGATGGAGATACCTAAGCAATTGCCTACCAGACCACTTTCCTGGCTGCAGGGACAATGTGACCCTGGAGGCTCCTTTCCCCACAGCTAGCCCAAACATTGACTGAGAAGCTGTTGGCTACCAACTGTGCTCAGAAGTCTGGTACTGTTAGCTGCCCGGCGTCCAGAGATGTTCACAGGAAGCCGAGCAGCCCTGCTTGCTGATTCCGGCCTGCTTGTTGTCCAAGCCACCCAGAGAGCCTTGGGGCTTTGCCGCATCAGCTCTGCAGTTTGATCACACTATATACTCCTCCAGTTCTCCCTCACACATGCTCCCCTATGCTAGAATGCCTTGCACACTGCATGGCGAGACCAACTCTTGCTCATGCCACAGACTCACGGCAGGCCTACTTCTGAGGATGTTCCGGTGCTACGGAATGAGTGTAGGCTCATCTTTGAGGCCCCCCTCCCCTGAATCTTCCCTACTCTGTTCCTTCAGGAATACATTTCTCCAGCTGTTTGGGGTGATGTACACACGTCCCCGCCCCCTGCCCTGCCTCGGGGTGATGTGAAGGAGCAGCCTTCAGGGCAACCGGGCTAATGGGCTCAGAAGTACGGCATGAGCTAGGAGGCACACAAAGCCTCTGTTGGGTTTCGGTTCTCCAGTAGACCTAGTGAGTTCCTCAATGCCAAGGCTGCTTTGCCTGCTCTATCCCCAGTGCCCACCAGCGAAGCTCCTCAGGCATATTCGAAAACAAACAAAAATCTTCCAACCTTTGTTGGGGACCAATGAGAATTCTTCTTTGTTCCCCTTTCCATCTGGTCTCTCGTACCCTCCAATTCCCAGGGGTGACCATGCCTCGCCAAGGACATCTTTCCTGCCCACTGTTTACCTCTGTCCTCTTCTTCTTGTCCCTTTAATTTAGCATAGAGGGATCAGGCAAGCTCTTGTGCATGTGTATATGGTATATGTACATGTGTATATGCATGTTCACATGTATGTGTATATGATGTGGAAGCCAGAGGCTGATGTTGGGCACTTTTCAATAGCTTTTCCACTTAATTCATTGAGGTAGGACTTCTCAGTCAAACCCAGAGCTCACCGATACGGCAAGCCTTGCTCCAGTGATTCCCCGTTCTTCATCTTCAGAAGCTAGAATTATAGTTGGGTCAAAAACGCCTGCCTGGCATCTTACATGGTACTGGGGATTTGAACTCTGCTTCTCGCACTTGCCTGGCAAGTGCTGGGACCACTGAGCCATCTCCCCAGTCCAACTTTCTTTTTCTTTTAGCTACAGGGTCTTACTCTTAGCAATGGCCAGCCTGGAACTCACTCCACAGTGCAGACCTCAAATTCACACAGATGCTCCTGCCTCAACTGTCCATGTTCTGTATTTAGAGGTGTGCACCACCATCCACTCTTGATAAGTTATGTCTGATGATGAAAACAACATTTTCATCAGAGGGGGAAAAAAGCACTTACACAGTTAATGGTAAATAACCATCGAGGTCTTACTGCTCCTGAAGATCCTGTCTCTGCCCTTCCAGAGTTCCAATTACCACCCAAGAGCCTGAGCCAACCCCTCCTCTTCCTTATAAGGGGTCACATCTGCACACCTGAAGCCACGCCCATAGGATGAGGCCACCTCAGAAAACCCACCAGCAAAACAAGATGCCACAACAAGGGATAGAAACTGTGACAATCAGCCGGGCATTGGTGGCACAGTCCTTTAAAACCAGCACTTGGGAAGCAGAGGCAGCTGATCTCTGTGAGTTCAAGGCCAGCTGGGTCTACAAGGCGAGTTCCAGGACAGGCTCCAAAGCCACAGAGAAACCCTGTCTCGAAAAAAGCAAAACAACAACAACAACAAAAACCGATTACAATCAGTCTCTGAGGGCTTCATTTGCAATGCAAAAGAATTTCAGTTCTTTCAAAAATAAATACTTGTGTGCAAGAGTTAATCATTAACAAAATCTCGTAAAGGAAAGCCAGGTTTCCAGAGGAGCTTACTAAACTCATGACGGCACCTCTGGGATGGGGCTAAGTTTGTCTTTCGTTGGATGTCTGGGCCTTGAGGTTTGTGTTCAAGCTTTTGTTTTCCTTTTTCTAGTAAGACAGAGGTCAGAAGAGTTGCAAGGACCACAGCTACTCCACTTGTACATTTGTTAGGTAGAACTGAGGTGTGAGTTGTACCCTCTGCTGGTCTGTTGTAACTCCTGGGCCCCAGCCCCTGCTATAAAGACTCAATTTAAAAAAAAATCAGAGTGTCTTAACCAACAGAGGGCCCTAGACAGCCTAGGCAGTGAAGTGTGAGGCGACCAAGAAAGCTACAGTGGTCATTTGGTAGCTGCCGTCTCCAGTTGGCCCGAAAAGCCCATTTTCGGTTAAACGGAGGCTGCAGATAGGTTGTTCCCCATTGTATGGAGAACTAAGGGGCCTTTGCCTGCAAGTGCGCTGATGAAGGATTTGTATCCTCTAAAGGACTACATTGCAGTATCATTTATGTTGCAGTTTTGGACTCCAACCCTTTGTAGACACTTTCTTTTTTTTTAATTTAATTTAAATTAGCAACAAGTTTGCTTCACATGTCAATCCTAGCTCCCTCTCCCTCCCCTCCTCTCCCGCCCCCCTTCAACCCTCCCTCAACTCCTTCCCCAATCCTCACTCTACTCTCCCCTGAGACCATTCTTGGGGGATCTCGAAAGTCTCTTTGTAGACATTTTCAAGCATCGTGGGGTGGGGGGGGAATAGATCTACCCACTGTGATTTGGGGTGGAACCTCCTTACCTCGTGACTACGCCCTCATCTTATAAATATCCATAAAACTTCAGGTCCACAGTGCAGACCCCGCTGAGATGCCGCCCTGCCTTTGGGGGCAGCACCGTTTGCTTCTCGCTGAACCCTCTTCTTCCAGGAGACAAGAACTGGGGGACCCCGGTTAAGCGTTCAGTCTCCCTACAGCTCCGAGAGGAGGGAAGGGAAGATTTTAGCTAATTCCACAGACAGGAAAACACAGGCTCAGGGAGAGTCAAATGAAGCCACACTCCCTGCTCTGCCGTTTGGGCATCTGCCTTCCTGCCCATCCGTAGGAGAGCATTTTCCTTCGAGGATTCCCAGAATTTCAGTAGGGGTGTGGGAGTCAGGTGTAAGTGGAGCGAGTCCCTCTGACTCAGAAAGAAGACATGATTCATTTTTGGTTTGTCTTCTCTCTTGTGCCCCTCATCTTTCCTGGTGTCGCTTCTCTGTCTGGATTTAGGCTTTGTTCCTTTGCTAGGCTTTTGGTACTCTGGGCTGGGGATGGACCCAGGTTGGCGCAGGGTAAGGACATGTTGGTGTTGACATTTCCTGTCTCAGAGTCCTCCCCAGCTGCCTTCTGGTCGATGGTCAACCCTTTTCCCCCTGAGTTTCTGCCTTCTAGCTAGGTGGGTGGGATTCAGCAGGGGCTGTCTTCCTGCCATTCTATACCAAAAACCACGAGAAGAGTCTTCAAACTTCTGCCTCCCTGCACTGCTCCATCTCTCGGGGTTGTGCTCGCACATCAGGTGGAGGCAAACCGCTGGACCTTCTGAGAACCTCTTCCAGAAACAGCCTGAGAGGGCAGACGTGGGGGCTCTGTCCACCCTGGGACGAGCATAGGTGGCAGCTGTGACCTTAGGCCTACTTTACCTTTGTAAAAACTTCCTGAAGCTGGGTTTGGGATGCCAAGGCAAGAGTACATAATAAGCCTGGGCTACATAGTAAGACCTTGTCTCAAACAAAACAAAACAAAACCAACACAGAGCAAACACAAACAAAACCTCAAACCAAAACACCCTAAGATTTTCTATTCCTTGAGGGTTTGCTGCGTGCAAAGCAAGTAGTTAAACGCAGCATACCATTTCATCCCTTATAAATCAGCCTAACAAAGCAGGTCACGCTCTCTTCAGTTAAAGACAAAGAAATGAAACAGCAACGCTGACTGGGCTACTAAAGGCAACACAGCAGTCAGTAACGGTGTTTATATTCACAGTGAGCTTGGCTGATCTTTTGAGAGCCCTCATTTGGGATTTAATTATATTGGTAATAAAATCATAACCACTCATGTGACAAGGAAGCCTTCGCTGTACGATGGGGGAGGAGACGTCAGGTCTGGGAGCCCACGGGGGACACAGTGACGTGGACTGGGCTTCAGAGGGTTTTCGTTCACTGGAACAAGCCGACCGTCTCACATTTCACACTGGAGATGTGAAGAATTATTGAAGAAGGACACCACACGTGTCCCACTCAATCTCAGCACGACAAGCTTCCTTTTTTATTTTGGCCATAGAAGAAGCAGATACTAGATATTTTAGACTGAGTGTCTCTCCTCAACCATAAACACAAAAATCCACCTTCAGGTTGGTGATGGCTTCATTTCTACGGCGTCTCTCATCATCTGCAATGGGGCGTAGCAGACACTCGGTGCCAACAACACCTTTCTGTCACCTGGGCACCTATGATGCTGCTGCTCAGCCGCACCCTGCAGTGTCAGTAGGTGGCAGTCTGGCTCTGCACTCACTGTGCCCAGGGTGATGTGGGATTCCAGGATCCGTGTGCCAAAGAAATCCCCACCACCCTCCTTCGTCAGATCTTTGGAACCTAAAGGCAACACATTCTCCAGACCCGAAAATGCAAATGCTGTGCCTGGCCGTCCAAAGAAACCCTTGGTTTCTCTTAGTTGAATTTCTGGGCAGGCTCTCCAGTGCCTTTGATCTTTAGCAGTTGTACGGGGCAACCAACTGCGTCTTGGCCGTGATAGCACTACTGAGTCTGCTGGATGCCCGCCCAAACCCAACCCATCTGGGCGGGGTCTCCAAAATGACCTCTTCTCCTATCACAGCTGCTTCCTATTGTTTTGCAGCTTCCTGTTTCCTGCTCCGAGAGCCATAAGATCGCGAGATCACACCATAGCGATGAAGTCATTGTGGTTCTCCAACATAACTGTCAACGAAGACACTGATGACGCGGCGTCACGTGGCATCTGTGGGCCATGATGGCTGACGAGCGGAAATTCATTCACCAAGAAGATAGACCCTAGAGGTGCAATCATGGGGGTCTTGCTGAACGAAAGAGAAGAGAGTCTCCTGTGCGGCTGTGCGGATTATACTCTTGTTTAGATCAAATGGTACCATGGTACACTTCATTCACTGAATTATGTTCTGTAGAGCCTTTTTGGAAGATCATCTATTCGTGATAGTCTGGAATCACCCTACCTGCTAGAGAGAGGAAGTCAATCTTTAGACATTTAGATCACCACATGGACTTTTAACCTACAGCACCCCAATTTCTTTAAGCTAAAAGATTCATTAAATTACTTTGACTCTATTGGCACCCCAACTAATTTGATCAGCTTGATTAAGCAAATCTTCCTTTGGTTTGGAGCTTGGTCTAGAAACAAGGAATTGATTAAACAATTTAATGATTTGGGTCAGTTTCCTCTGTCTTCCTTTCAAGATGTCATCGCTCATTGGTGAGTGTCAATAAGGCTCTTCAGGCAGCATCCACAACTCCCCTGGAAGCCACTTTATTCCTCTTCAGTCAGTGATGAGAATCTATAGCCTTGAATTAACCTTGAACTAGAAAGTGTCTGTTCTGAGTGTCGGGAAGCGTTTCCGTTTCCTCCCTGATATCAGGCTCCTGGAATTTGGCCTTTGGAGATGGCCCTGGGAGACTTTAAAGGCAGTCTTTAAAAGTGTCTTTGTGTTTGCACGGATAAACAAATGCTCTGCCAGTCACATGTTAGAGCCATGGGGTAGCTGTCACTCATATCAAGGGAGCCACCAAGAAAGAGTTGTGTAGACATGCCCAGAAGGGAGGAGGGCATGAGGATTTGGGGAATCATTAAGAAAAAAAGTTAGAGAAGATACATAAACTGCCTTTCTCAGTCCCCAAAGCGCTTTAGGACACAGCTTGTTAGTGCCCTCTCCATTCTGTTTACTGATTTGATGATTGGGATATTCTGTCTTTTCTCCCTAGATCTTGTTTTATGATGAGACTTTAATTCTGTACTGGGAGGTGTTTTTAGCCATTAAAAGTACTTCAAAATGGGATGGCCTATGGCTTGATAGAACAACATTGACTGTGGAACTAACCAAGGGAAACATCTCCTATTGGTCAATTAAGTCATTGGCCTTGGAAGTAACCAAGTAGAGAGTGTCTGTGAAGAACCAGAATGACCAGAAGTTGAAGTTCAGATGAGTGAGGCAGGTGTTTCTTCCAAAGGGGGACTTCTGGGAGACATGGAATTTATGTTGATACTTGAAGAACACACAAGAAAGTGATAGACAAGACGAGGGCATGGCGGGGCCTGGGAAGGGAACTGCTTAGTAACAAGGTCGGTCTGGGTAATGTGTCTTGTCCCCCGTAGGGTCCTGGGGCCCCACCTGTCTACTGTACTCTACCATCAAGCTTTCTTTGATTTTGTTTCCACCTGTGTCCTCTTAACTAACTCGGTATGCAGCTGTTCCTTGGTGTGCTAACCATGATAATTCCTTCTTGTCCCTTGGGCAGTTTTCTTTGTCCCCAACTGAATCCCATTGTACCTGGGATTAAAGAGGTGAAGTTTATGCTTCTACTGAAAACCCAAAATATGGAAAACCCTATCCATCTACTTTTCAGCCTACCTTCCATCTTGAATTGTCCATCACTCCATCCGGTTAGCTTTTCTGACTTGTCCAAACCTCCCTTGTGAGACTTTTGGTAAAGTCCCTCTAGAAATCCTTACTATAATGGTGCTGAGGCTGAGCTTGGGACCGTTATGCTGTACAATTAATTGCTTTGTCTTGCATTCACGTCTGTCATTTTGTGTGCACAGCTGTGTAACAGACTGTTAACATCGGGATCTAATGTAATATACATTTATGAAATCTTACTGTGAGGGTCCTAAATTTGAGTAGACTTATCTGGATTTTCTGCCTAGGATTTCACAAATCAAAATGTGACAGACTGCCTTTTGCATAGAGGTTTTGGAAAAGAATTTGCTTCCAAACTCAGCTGTGTTGAGACAGGTGCTGTGATCTGAATGTTCTATCCTTGCCCAAACTCATATGTTGAAATCCTACTCTCCCCCAGGGTGATGTGTATTACTTCTTTCATTGCTCCAATAAGACACCAGAAAGAGGCAACTGTTTTACAGAACATTCCTGTGAACTGGAATATTCCATCTGGAAAGCAGGATCTTCAGACTCAGAAAATAAAACTGGCCAAAGTTCAGGACACATACAACTCACTAATCTCAGGAAGGCCTCGAAACTTACAAAACTCACAACGTCCATTTCTCAAGGTTACATGAACTGCAAGGACCGCGGGGAAGAGACAAGTGCTCCCTGCACGTCAAGCTGCCCAAGAGTTGTACGAGTTGCCCCAGAAACGCAGCTTTCATAACTTGTCACCCATGCTAGGGTGGCCCTTGTGTTGATGCAGCTGCCGTTAAGTCATCCGTGCCTCTGTAAGTAACTCCTCACTTCTACTCTCTTCAGTCACCTCAATAAGCTCACTGATTCACTGCAACGTGTAGTCTTCCCTCCAGACGCTTGGGCCCTGCCATTGTCTCAGCCCCCAAATAACACACAGGATGCTATGTTAATTATAAGCTGTTGGCCGTTTGCTTGTTTTCTTACTGACTATCTCTGACTTAAGTAGTTAGCCTATAATTGCTCATCTAAGTGTTTCCATGAGGTCTACTCTTACCGGAGGAAGGGTCCGGGCATGTTACTTCTCTGGCATCCTACATCGTGACTGGCTGTGCCTCTCTTTCCCAGAATCCTCCTCGACTCCTAGTCCCACCTATCTTGCTTCCCTATTGGCCAACAGTGCTTTATTTAATCAACCAATAAGACAAGCACATATACACAGAAGGACTTCCCCCATCAGTTCACCAAGACTTTGTTCTATTGTTAGCTCCTTATCAGAGGTTAATGGATGTTTGTTCACATCTTTTTAGAGAAAGTCACAAAGCAATAGCTTGGTTCATAGTCTGAGGGGACAAAGCCCATCACAGTAGAATAGGCTTGGTAGTTCCTCACATCAGGACAGATCAGGAGGTCCATAGAGAGCCAGGCTATGAACCTCAAGGCTTCTCAAAAACCCAGCTCCTCCATTAAGTACCACTTCCTGAGGTTTCAAACACAGCATCACTGACCAGTGTTGTCCAAATGTTTAAACCACATGAGCCTGTGGGGACTGGTGGTATAATAGATCACATCCAAGCCATAATAGAGGTTATTAGAAGTTAGGGCCCTTCGAGTGGGAAATCTGGTCATGAGGGTAGGACCCTCATGAGTGGGATTAGTGCCCTCTTGAAAGAGGGCGGAAGGAGTGTGTCTACTCTTCCTGTCAGGTGAGGACGCATAATTCTCCCCCCATGAGGAAGATACATGAGTCTCTGATTCTGTCGGAACCTTGAGCTCAGATGTCTCAGCCTCAGATTCCTGTGTATAAGTCACTTGGTTTACTATGATATTTTGTTGTAGAAACCTGAGACTCTGAGTGGGCTCCGGCAGCAGAATTCCTTTTGTGATGGCTGGTGGGGTGTCCTGGTTGGTTCTTATTGTCAACTTGACACAACCCAGAGTCACCTGGGCTGGAACCTCAGCTGCAGAATTGCCTCCAGCGTAGCAGCCTGCGGTCCTGTCTGGGAGATGACCAACACGAGAGGACTCAGCCCCCTGTGGGTGGCACCATCCCTAGGCAGATAGAGTTAGGCTCTATGAACAGCTCTAGCTGAGCATGTCAGTCGGCCAGCAGTCAGCAATGGTCCTCCACGGTTTCCACCTCAGTTCTGACTCGGGTTCCTCCCTTGACTTCACTCACTGAGAGACTGTGACCAGGAAGTGTAGGTTTAAATAAATTCTTTCTTTGCCTACGTCGCTTTTGCCATGGTGTTTTGTCACAGCAATAGAAAGCCACTACGACAATTGCCCTAAATAAAAATGTAACGTGTATACAATGTTCTGTTCTGTGGATGCAACATGCTTTTCTGCCATTCCCTCTTATTAAATACTTAGGTAAATCTGTTTCTTAAATGGTGCAATGCACATCTTTGTGTTTTCCATGACAGCACTCTAGATGTGAGACTTGTGTGTTGAGAATATAAAAATTTTAAGATATTTCCCATATCCTATCAAATTCACCTGTATAAACATCATCTCAATATATTACTAAGATAAACACACTTCTTTGAAGGCTTTCCTACCTTTTAACTACATAAAATTCTTAGATCTCTTTGGTAGTACATTGAACACATGACCTTGCCAAAATCAGGATATTTCGGCCCACAATACACTGTTCAGGAAGCTGAACCTCAAGAACAATTAACGTTAGCATGTATTTTGTGAACGCTTGCTTTCCTACGGGGTGGTTGAGGATCTGTGCGTTCCTAGGTGGCCAACAGCTCCCTTCCTCTTTCTGGTCCCTCCCCATAGGGTGATAGTTCTGCATACTCTTCAGGTGTGGTATTTAGATCCGACCATCACGTGTCTTCAGGCACATATGGCTAGAGAAGCTGAAAGACATTTCTTTTTAGCAGACCCCTGTCCAGATAGTAGAGGTTAACCCTTTGGTGTCCTCCATGGAGGCTTACTGAGGTAGCCTGAGGTTTATTATTATTAATAAAAGGGAGGAGGAAATCAGTTGTAAACAGTTGCTTCAAGATGTCTTAGTCACGCCTCCATTCGTTAGGACTTCACGGCAGTGCAACTTTGAAGAGCTAAGGGGGCATTTCACCCCCACAGGAGATTTTGCCTCATGGTAGTCTCTAGGAATGAGTTTGGAAACAGACAAATGGGCGCACAGTTGACGTTTCTTCCAGCTCATTTCGCTCCAAGATGAGTTTTTCTTACCGTAATGCCCTCTTCCAACCTTTACTGGCTCTCTGAGTACTCTTGACTTATGTTTTAAACAGAAAGCACAATTTTGCAAGTTCATAATCATTTTCTGCTGCCAGGGTGGTGCTTAGTAACAGCTTCTAACCAGTCAGGGTTTGTCCTCTGAGGATACTTGCTATGCAGGCTCTCTGAGGGCTGGGCATGAGCTGCCCCTTTCAGCCTGAGCACACTTGGGAGCTTGCAGCTTCACGCTGGTAACAAAGATGAGACCCTGGATACGTGGTGCTTGGAGGAGCACATGGTTGGGCAGGAGCAACCCTGGTGTAGACTCCCTGTCCTGTGTGTCCAGGCGGCAGCTTCAAGGACATGCATAAAGTCGTGGTCACTCTCAGGGAGCTGCTCAAGGCCACAGAAGACTTCTGCTGACCCCATCTGCCATGGGCTATTTTAGGACTCAGTGCTTCTGTCAGGAGTTTCTCCCCCAGAAAACAGACATCTGGTCACCCTTCCCTTCTTTTTTCCTCTTCAGTCATGCTGTGTGTGCACTGAAGCCCTGCCTAGAGATGGGAGGGCTTGAGTCCTGCTTTTGTTATGTGATTACACACACACACACACACACACACACTACAATGTAACACACACACAACATAATGTAACACACACACCAAACAACACACACAACATACACCACATAACACACATACACATATACCACATGCACAACACACACCTTCACACACACAACACACATACATACACAGCACACACATGTGCGCACACACACTCATACACTCACATACACACTCACACATACTAAAACATCACTCACACACTCATAGACACACACTCATACACTCACACACACCACACATCACACACACACTTATACTCACACCACACACACACAGAGGTTTTTTTCAAAATTGTAAGTTTCTATACAGCTTTTCCTGCCCCCACCCTGTGTTAGTTGTCCTCTACCTGCCCCCACCCGGGGTTAGTAACCTTTCTATTGCTGTCCAGGCAGCAAGGAAACTTATAAGGAAGAGCTTACTTAGGGCCCACAGCTTCAGACGGTGAGTTAGAGTCCATGGCCATTGTACCAGGAAACACAGTGCTAGAGCAACAATTAGGAGCTTGTATCTAAGACAACAACCACAAGGCAGAGAGAGTGTTTACTGGGAAACTTTCCCACCAGACCACACCCCCTAATCCTTCCCAAACAGTTCTACCAGCTAGGGACCGAGAATTCATATATCTGAGCCTATGGGGCTGGGGCGCGTCCTCACCACGCCTCCCGTCCTTCTCCTGATATACTAGCTGGGTAGCTATTGTCAGTAGCATTACAGTGGACAACAGTGAAGGCTGTGGCGTGTCCTCACCACGCCTCCCGTCCTAGCTGGGTAGCTATTGTCAATAATGCTATAGTGAACCCCAGTGCATGAGCGTCTATGCTATGTGTTGGGTTGGAACCTTTGGGTTGCTTATTATGTAAACATGAAAAGCCAAATTCAATCTCTAGAACCCCATCCCCTCCACCCCCCCAAAAAAGCGTTATGGAGTGCACGTGAAGTCACAGCACTAGGGAGGCAGAATCCCTAGGTTTGCTGGCCAGCCAGCCTAGCTGAATTAGTGTCTCAGGCCACAGTGAACACCCTGCCTCAAAAACATGGTCTATAGTGCCCGAGGAATGACGTCTGAGGTCGTCCTTTGGACCCCACACACGCATGTGCACTCATAGCCACACACAGACACACAAGTACACATAGACAAACACACATACAGACACATACACACACACAGACACATGCACATGCAGACATACATGCATGCACACATACAGACACACATACACAGACTTGCACACAAACATGCACACACACATGTACACACACAGACACACACATACATGCACACACATGCACACACAAGCATACACATACAGATACACACACACACACACACACACACACACACACACACACACAAAGGTGGTGAGCCAGCCTGCTGTGTAGGACTGGACTACCCTGGAAGAAAGGCCCCGCCCTCCTCTACCCATAAGCTCAGGGAGGCAGACATGGGAGTTTCTGTCATTCCCTCTTGCCCCCTCGTACGGCACTTCTCAACCTGTGGGCGGCAACTCCTTTCAGGGTTGAATGACCCTTTCACAGGGGTCAGCTAAGACCTCCAGAAGACACAGAGATTTCCATTATTTACGGTTATTTCATAACTGTTGCAGAATTACAGTTATGAAGAAGCAAAGGAAATACCTCCTTGGTTGGAGTCGCCAGAACATGAGGAAGTGTATTAAAGGGTGGCGGCGTTAGGAAGGCTGAGGGCCTCTGCTCTAGTAGGAATCAGGATGGAGGAAAGGTTGAGTACATGCACTTGTGTCCAGTGATGGCTTGGGGATCTTGACAGCTTATCTGAACTCAGCAAGCCTTGGTTTCCTTGCTATGAGTCACGGTGCACACTTAGCACTCACACAAAACAGACAGACTGAGACTTCCTAATTGGCCTAAGGCGGGATATGACTCTTGACCTAAATCCGGAGACACGTTTTGTAATTTTCTGTAACTCAGCTGATAGTTCTGGGGCCTGTGGAAGTTCTCAGCGTACACGTCTCCCTCCTTTCTAGGTGGGCGTATGCCTGGCTGGGCGGTGCCAAGTCCCCAAAGGTCCTCTGCAGAGTTCTGTCTGCAGAGACATCCACTAGGCATCGGATCCGCTCATCTCCAGGGTCCTGCATTCTTCTTGGGACTGTGCATAGGTGCAGGGTTAGGTCCCTTTGACCGACAAGTCCCGCCAGGCCTCCTGTGAGTCTTGTTGCTTCTGTGGGACCAGAGCCCGGAAGCAAGGCACAGACTCATCATCTGAGACCTGACACATCTCTTCCCTGTAGCCTGGCTGGCTCAGCACAGGCACACACCCTCTGTTTCCTGCCTTTATCTCCCACAAGCCCTGGGAATTCTTACCATAGCCCTCCGGGGAAGGGGCTCTTTCGCTCCTGGCTGTCATACTGTCCAGCTTTTCCATCTCTCCAAGGGCGTCTATCTTTGAAACATGGAAAACAAAGAATTCTTTGTCTGTCTTAATCACAGGTTCACACCTTTCCCCGAGGCAGTGATCCCAGCGTGACTTAATTGGATGTGGGTGGGAGGAGACGGAGGTCCAGGGGAAAACAAGCTAACATTCCGGCAATACCGTTCCGTTACCACTGTCCTTGGCTTCCTTCTGCCCATGCCTCTGCTGAGACCCCGTTCTTGTCTTTCCTCTTGGTGTTCTTGATCTTTTGGCATGGGTGGCTTCGTGGGTATTCTGACCCTCTGTGTGACTAATGCCCCGTGGTCACTTCTTCCTGTCAGTTTTGCTTTTCTGGTGAGATGACAAACTCATTAGCAGTTTCCCACCGTTTGTCTGTGCTCTTAGGCCGGGAGTATTTCAAAATCTGCTGACTGATTCATGCACAGAGGGGCTGACCTCAACACTGCCCTCTTGCTTTGATTTTCTTTTCGTTTGTCCTCATTAATAAGGGGCCACCCGCAAATATTTCTAAGTGTGTACGGTCATGCGAGGCTAGTTTTCTATATATGAGCCTATTGTATCACTTAGTTTGCCTCAGTGGCACCTGAAAAAAAATTCCACGTAAGAAATCTAGGTCTATTAAAATGAACGTGTAGCTGGTAGAGTGCTTGCAGGAAAGACCTCTTAGGCTCTGCTTGGTGGTAACGTCTGTAATCTAGCACTCAGGAGATAAACGCAGGAGGGTCAGAAGCTCAAGGTCATCGTGGGATACATAGTTCTAGGGCAGCCTGGGCTATCTGAGGCCACATCTGGAAAATGTTTATTGCTTCATGTGTGCAATGTACACAAAATCAGTCAGAAAGCTTGCTTTTTTTTGTTTTGTTTTTAGAAATACACCAACTATAAAATCATTTTTCTGAGCCTCATGAAGTTCATCTTCCTGGAGCCCTTAATGGAAGAGCACCAAGCACTGTGGGCTTCTGTCATTTCCCAAGCTGGACAGGGTTGGGTAACGCTA